GGGGGGGAGGCGGGGGAGATGGCTCAGTGGAATAAGCCCTTGGCTGGCAAGCGCAGTGGCCTGAGTTCAATCCCTGGTTCCGCAAAAAAATAATTCCTAGTTTTGATTTTTTTGAGGCCGATGTAGTTCAGGCAGGCTCTGATTCAGTTATGTGGCCCAGGCTGTCCTTGAACTCAGGGCAATACTCCTGCCTCAGCCTCCTGAGTGCTGGGATTACAGTGGTGTGCCACTACGCTAGGCTTGCTTGGTAGTATTTACCATTTTCCCCAAATAATAGTTTCTAGCACTCCACGCTGTTGGATGACCCAGGAGCTTAAGTCGCCTTAGTTAATACAGTTTGGTTGCAGCTTTCTCGGACTCATCCAGTTGGCCCGTCAAGATGATGTTATCCCACAGAATAAAGACATTTCTCACATTCCCTTGGGGAACTCATGAGGCTAGGGAGACAGAGAGCAGACAAGTCTCCTGCCTGGGGTGAGCGGGCTTTCAGCTCCAGCACTCCACCGTTCTGTTCTGGCCACATTCCTTCGGGACTTAGCAAAGCTGCGCCCTTTCCCTTGATTATCCACGGCTGAGGACCTGAGGACCGGACCCAGGCCTGGCTCCTGCCTCCCCGGGGCTGCACCAGAAGCCCTGGATTCTCCTTTGCCTTTTGATCTTTTCTGCCCTGCCTTTTCTTTTTGTTCTGTTTACCAACACTGAAGATTGAGCTGGGGGTGTTTTAACACTGAGCTACACCCCTCCCCACTTTTGAATTTATTTTTCCTTCTGAATCTTGTAAGGCCGGCTCTCACCCCATTGCTCAGGTTGGCCTCAACATGTGGAGTAACTGAGATTACAAAACAAGCCACCAATCCATCTTATTCTTTGGGGGATGGCCATGTATAAATGTTTAGTACAGAGACAAAAACGCAGGCTGCAAAGCAGCCTAACTACCTGGGCAGGTGCAGTGCGCACAAGCCTGTGACCCCAGTGCTGGGGACGCTGAGGCAGGAGGACCGCAACCTCCAGTGCTGCTTGGTAATTTATGAGACTTCGTCTCAAAATAAAAGGGAGGGGGGCTGGGAAGATGGATGGTGGAATAAGCACTTCGCTGGTAAGCCCAAGGGCCTGAGTTCAATTCCCGGTTCTGGAAAAAACAAAACAAAAACAAACAAACAAAAAAACACTAACTTAATAAAAGGGAGTCTGGGCTGTGCGTGGTACTGCTTGATAGGTTTTAACAGTGGAGCAGCAGAGAAACACCAGAAGGAAAAGGGAAAGGGGCTTTAGTGTAAAGGGAAAGGGACTCCATTATCTTAGAGGACACGGAGAGAATTTGGGACGATAAGGAATTCTCTGGATTGGAGCAAAGGGAGGCTGAGGCCCTCATGGTCTTTCGCCAGGGGTGGGGCTTGAGGGGATGTTTAGACATACTTGAGGAGCTGACTGGGGCCTTCCCTGAGGTGGCGGGAAAGGTGAAAAGGAACTGTACCCCGGGCTGAGTTGGAGAACAGGGAGGAGGTGGTCTCTGGGAAGACAAGCTGCTCTTTTAAGGGCTTCAGCCGTATTAGATGACCACCATAATAATTCAGCAGTTCATACTAGGGCCAGAACCTATCAGTGTTCATGTAATCCCAGTGCTCAAGGAGTTAAGGCAAGAGGATTGTCGCAAACTCAAGGCCAGTTTGAAACACACAGAGAGAATCTCTGGGTTCAATGCCCATTGGGGGGGGACACCACACATTTTGAGAAAATTTTAATTTCACAACCTTTTCTTCTAGGCGTAGGATCAAATAACAAATATCTTTCCTTTTCAATAAATAAATCGAACTTTTACCAGTGTTATCATCATTCTTCAAGGTGGTAGGGGCCGGGAAGACAGAAGAATAAGTGCTTGCCTGGTAAGTGCAGGGTCCTGAGTTCAATCCCTGGTAACCTCAAATAATAATAATAATAAGGGCCGGGGAAATAGCTCTCTAGAATAAGCGCTTGCCTGCAAGTGCAAGGGCCTGAATTCAATCCCGTTCCGATCAAAAAAAAAAAAAAAAGTAATAATAATAAATAAAAAGTGGTATAATCAGGAAGGATGACAAAATGTTCAAATACTCCCACCCCACCCCCGTCAGGAATGCAAAAACAAAAACCAAGGACGCTGAGGCAGGAGGATCACTTGAGCTCAGGAACTGGACACCAGCCTGGGCAAAAGAGATCCCTGTTTGGAGAAGAAAAAAAAAAGGGGGGGGGGGGACCTATACTCGATCCGCAGCTACAGAAGCATCATTCGTCTCGGAATCCGAGCGATCCCGGGGGCTGCGGCGCTCTTCCTGCGAACGTCCCACTTCCGGGCGTAGGGACCGCGTCGCGCAGCGCTGCGCGATCGCCATTGGCCGGGCAGCCGGGCAGGAATGCGGTACCAACAGCATCCGTGAGCGAGCCTTCTATGGGCAACAGGCCGCACCGGCGTACCTGCGCGGGCTCCCGGTTAGGCCCCGCTAACCGAGCTGCCCCTGAAATGGGGACCAGATGCATAAAGGACCACGGGTGGGGTGGGGAGGCGCTGCCGACGAGCAAGAACGAGAGAACCGAGAGACCTGGGGGTGAATCCGGGGCCTCCCTGAAGCTGAGCGAAGACCCTCCCTAAACAGACACTTGGGTTTCCAAGAAGGGGGCCTATATTTTTCTCTCCCTGCGGCTAGGTTGAGAGGGGCACTGAACCTATAAGAACTCAAGAAGCAGGGGCGCTTCCCTCTCCACCATCCCCCACCAGGCTTCCAGGACTGTGACTTTGTCTCCCGCTTGTTCCGACCTTGAGCCGCCCTTGCACCACCTGGGCCGCCCTCCCGAATGCCCCGCCGCCGGCTCGGCCCGGGCAGGGAGGCCCTGGACGTGGAAGGGGACTGGCTCGGGGCGGAGCGGCCTAGAGTTCACTTCTGTGTTGCCGAGTTGCAAACTCAGGCAGACGCGGGGGAGCGCATTCCTGGCCCCGCGTCGCGTCGCGTCGCGGCGCTTACAGGGGCGCCATGAGAAAAACGTCGAGTGCAGCTTCGGTCCAGAACCGTACAAACCCTATTTTTTGCAATCTGTGCCTCTAGGGGTTAACTTGAAACCCGAGGAACTCCAATAGAGAGAAAACAGCGTCCGCGAAGCCCAGCGGCTGCGGGGCACCGGGGAGGCAGTGGCCTCCGAGTCGCGCGCCCCGGCGGGTCGTGGGTAGTCTCCAGGCCCGATCCCGGAGCCCGCACTTGTCACCCGCCATCCCGTTCAGCATCGGCGGCAGGGGGCCGAAGCCCCGAGAGGGCGGAGACGGAGCTGGCACCGGCGCTGCTCCGGCAGCTGCGCGGACGCGCGCGCGCGGGCGGGTGGCCGGAGGGGGCGCGGGCGCCTAGGGGCGTGTCTGGAAACGCCCGCCTCCGCAGGCCGCCGCGCCCGGCGCTACTTAAGGCGGCGGAGCCCGCGCGCCGCGTCTCTCCGCAGGCCCCGGCCGCGGCGTCTTCTGTAGACTTGTACGCGGAAGGCGCGATGGAGCGGCCGGCCCCCCTGGCGGTGCTGCCCTTCTCGGACCCGGCGCACGCCCTGAGCCTGCTGCGCGGCCTGAGTCAGCTCCGCGCCGAGCGCAAGTTCCTGGACGTGACGCTGGAGGCGGCGGGCGGGCGCGACTTCCCTGCGCACCGCGCCGTGCTGGCCGCCGCCAGCCCCTACTTCCGCGCCATGTTCGCCGGGCAGCTGCGCGAGAGCCGCGCCGAGCGGGTGCGCCTACACGGGGTGCCGCCCGACATGCTGCAGCTGCTGCTGGACTTCAGCTACACGGGCCGCGTGGCCGTGAGCGGCGACAACGCCGAGCCCCTGCTGCGCGCCGCCGACCTGCTGCAGTTCCCCGCCGTGAAGGAGGCGTGCGGCGCTTTCCTGCAGCAGCAGCTCGACCTGGCCAACTGCCTGGATATGCAGGACTTCGCCGAGGCCTTCAGCTGCGCGGGGCTGGCGAGCGCGGCGCAGCGCTTCATCCTGCGCCACGTGGGCGAGCTGGGCGCCGAACAGCTGGAGCGCCTGCCGCTCGGCCGGCTGCTGCGCTACCTGCGCGACGACGGGCTGTGCGTGCCCAAGGAGGAGGCCGCCTACCAGCTGGCGCTGCGCTGGGTGCGAGCCGACCCGCCGCGCCGCGCCGCGCACTGGCCACAGCTGCTGGAGGCCGTGCGCCTGCCCTTCGTGCGCCGCTTCTACCTGCTGGCGCACGTCGAGGCCGAACCGCTGGTGGCCCGCTGTCCGCCTTGCCTGCGGCTGCTGCGCGAGGCGCGCGACTTCCAGGCTGCACGCTACGACCGTCACGACCGCGGGCCGTGCCCCCGCATGCGCCCGCGCCCCTCCACCGGCCTCGCTGAGATCCTCGTACTGGTGGGCGGCTGCGACCAGGACTGCGACGAGCTGGTCACCGTCGACTGCTACAACCCTCAGACAGGCCAGTGGCGCTACCTGGCTGAGTTCCCTGATCACCTGGGCGGGGGTTATAGCATCGTGGCGCTGGGCAACGACATCTATGTGACAGGTGAGTGCGTCGAGCTGGGGATCTCCCAGGGAGCCATTCGCCTTCCCAGGACAGGAAACCCGCAGAACTGGAATCAGGGCTGACCCGAATATGGGCCAGGGTTCTCGGGGACCTCTAGCCTGGAAGAAGGGGCCCCTTGTGTGAAAAGACAAGTGGCTGCTTGTGGCTTCTCGTGCCCTGGCTGGGCCAGCTCCCTGCCAGGGAAGTGCCTTTCCCTGTTCGCCTGGACATTCACCCGCACAATGAGCGCTTTCTCTCCCTGTGGAATGCGGGGCCAGGCCTGAGGCTCATGCCTGGTGAGGCAGCCAGCCATCGGTTCCTCCCAGGCCTGAGTGTTTCCCCTACCCTGCTGAGCCACCAGGACCTCCTGACTCAGGATGGCTTTGTCACACACCACAAGGTTCTTTGGGGCTTGCACCTAACTTGTCTGCGCCTTGTCACATGGTGTTTAGGCTGAGCTTGCCCGCGACTGTAAACATGGTCACGTGTTCAGAGGTTTTCTTCCAGTTGCCTGGCTCAAGCCCCAAAACCCTGCCTAGTCATGGTGGGCGGTTCCCAGACTGGCTGGGTCCTGGGCTTCTCCCACATTTTTTACTGAGAATGAATCCTGTCCAGACAGGAGGGAGGCCACCTCCTGTGGGGCGAGCAGGGGCGGTCTCTGGACTGCTATATAAGGCAAGAACAGCCGACGAGAGAGCACAGGCAGTTATCAGCAGGTCAGGCTCGGCAGGGTTATCGGGCAATGACTGTGCCCGGCCTGGGACATTCAGGAGATTTAGGACAGCCTCTGGGTGCTGCTCTGGAGCTGATGAGAGGGACGCATGGCAGAGACATCCTGGGCCCACAGGCTGCTGCTTCCTTGGCCAGCAGCCCAGTGTCAAGCCCTCTGCTGGAATCTGTCCGTCTGTTCCTCGTGACAGACTGAGGTTGGGCCTGTGTTTGAAGAACGTGTCCTCCTCCCCCGCCATCCCACCACACCCATGCCCTCCTAGTCTCAGTCGCAGAGCTGGCCGGACCTGCCTGGCTTCACCCTTCCGCAAATGTCACAGCTGCACAGCTAATCCTTTGGGTTTAGGCAGGTGGCTGGTACATTCCACGAAACTGCTGGTGGGGAATTTCCTGGGGCCCAGAAGCAGGCTTCAGCTGCCTTTGCAGCTCCACGGGGAAGGAAAGAGGCCCAGAGTTATGGGTGTTGTGGGACCTTTGTCTCCTGCTTCCAGAAGCTCAGGGCTGTGAGGCCCACAGAATGTGTGCTGTGCCTTGCGGCGCCAGCTCTGGAGGCCCAGGGATGCAGCCCCTGGGATTCCTGGAGCTTTGTCTTGCTGTGGTGGGTCTTTAATAGACTGGTTTAATTTAAGATGACAGCTGGGCATAGTGGTGCATACCTATAGTCCCAGTACTCTGTGGGAGACTGAGACAGGAGGGTAGAAAATTAGAATCTAGTGTGGGCAATTTGGTGATTTAATTTAGCAAAACCCTATTTTAGGCTCTAATCCCAGGCCATCTTGAGCTACACAGCAAAACCTTTTTTTTTTTTTTTTTTCGAAACCGTGAATTGAACTGAGGCCCTTGCGCTTGCCAGGGAAGCGCTTATTCCACTGAGCCATCTCCCCAGCACCCCCCCCCCTTTAAGATTTACTTATTTGGTACAGGGTCTTGCTCTTTGTAGCTCGGACACATAGCGATCCTCCTGTCTCAGCCTCCCCAGTGCTGAAATTACAGGCATATGCCACCACGCCTGGTTGGGGTGGCCAGGTCAGCACAGGACTGGCATGGCATGTGATACCAAGGATCGAACCTGGGTCCTTGCACTTGCCAGATAGGCACTTAGACCATGGAGCTGTCTCCCTGGCCCAACAAGGCTCTATCTCGGGCTGGGGAGATGGCTCAGTGGTCTAAAGCACCTACTTAGAACAAGCTTAGCAAAGCACAGGGACCGCGGTTCAATCCCCCAGCACCACATGCCAGCCAGCCCCGCCCCCTGGTGGGCTGAGCTAGCCACACACACACACACACACACAAGTAAATAAATAAATAAATAAAATTTTAAAAAAAAGTCTTAAGATAGTGTTGGGGCAGGGGAGATGGCTCAGTAGCATAAATGCCCGCCTGGCAAGCAAAGGTCCCAAATTCAATCCCAGCTATTACAAACAGAAAATTTTTTAAAAAGACAAGCGCAAGGTCCCAAGTTTATTCCATACCAAAATAAATAAGACAGCGTCCAGCGTGTGCACATGCTGTCACAGGACTTCTGCTGGGCTTTGGGTGGGGTGGTTTCGGGTGAACCCCAGGGAGGTCCCTTCCTCCAGGGGGAGCGTCCCTCACCCCTGCCCATTGCTGTCCCGGCAGGTGGATCTGACGGCTCCCGGCTCTACGACTGCGTGTGGAGGTACAACTCGAGCGTGAACGAGTGGACAGAGGTGGCACCCATGCTGAAGGCCCGCGAGTACCACAGCTCCTCCGTGTTGGACGGGCTTCTCTACGTGGTGGCCGCAGACAGCACGGAGCGCTACGACCACAAGGCCGACTCCTGGGAGGCGCTGCGCCCCATGACCTACCCCACGGACAACTGTTCCACCACCGCATGCCGCGGGCGCCTCTACGCCATCGGGTCCCTGCCTGGCAAAGAGACCATGGTGATGCAGTGCTACGAGCCGGACACCAACTTGTGGTCGCTGGTGGACTGTGGCCAGCTCCCGCCCTGGTCCTTTGCACCCAAGACAGTGACGCTAAATGGACTCATGTACTTTGTCAGGTGAGTCTTTATTTGGTATTTGGGTTTTTGGGATTTTTTTTGGCGGAACCAGAGATTGAACTCAGGCCCTTGCGCTTGCCAGGGAAGCGCTTATTCCACTGAGCCATCTCCCTGGCCCCTGTTTTTTTGTTTTGAGGTGAGGTTTAGGCTTCTACTCCTGGCGTGACCTTGTTGTTCTCCCCATTTTACAGATGAAGAAACTGAAGTCAAGCTAGGCTCAGAGGTTGGGGCCCTCAGGTTTCAGGGCACCTCTTTATCCTTTAGACCAGTTTTTGTGGACTTGAAGTCCCAGACTTTCTAGTCAAGGGATCCCAAGGGTGATGAGCGAGGGCCCAGTACCCCAGGGGACACATGCCTTACCTCTGAGCTTCCAGGCCTGGCCCAACTGTGGATCTGGGTGCCCCTGCTGATTGGTTAGAGGGCCTCTGAGGCTGGTGGGTACCTCCTGGGTGTACGCACTCCAGCACCCTGCCTAGAGCCAGTGGAGCAGCAGGGGAGGCGGGGTGTGATGACAGTCCCTTCTGTCTCCTTAGGGCCTAGAACTTGGAGTAGGGAGTCCCAAGTCTGTGTGTCCTCTGCTCCAGGGCCTATGTCCTTTCACCCCAGAGCCACTGTGGCCCTGGTCTACCTCACCCCAGAACTCTGAACTCATGGGGCAGGGCAAGTTGCTGGCGAGGCAAACCAGCTAAAGGCCTGGTGAGTTGCTGGCGAGGCAAACCAGCTAAAGGCCTGACATGCCTTGTGCCAGGAGCCCAAGGTCTGCTCTGAGGAAGCCTGGAGCCCAGGACAGCCCTGCCCTGTTATGAAACTGCCTGGCCCCAGCCCTGCTCCCTCCCCCACCTCTGAAGGTATCTTGGAGGGGCGGGGGAGGGGTGGCGACAACTATAAATACAACTTCTCAGCTGCTGGAGCCTTCCAGCCCTGAGGGCCTCCCTGAGACTGCCCCCATCCCTTCCCACCCTGGAGGAAGCAGGGTGCTGGCCCTGGAAGTAGTGCAGCTGGCTGCGGGGTGGTCCCACTGCTAATTCTGCTGGCCTCCCCTGTTCCTGAGCTGTGGCCAGGGGCCCAGCTGGGCCCTGGGGCTGCTGTGCTGGGTTCCTCCCCTGGCTGGGATCTTGAAGAGGGCCTGGGGTCACCCTGGCTGCCCTGCAGGCCCTTCCCAAGTGCACCTGGTACTCTGCCAGGAGGAGGGAGGTGGAGATAGAAACGACCTGTCATCAGAGGCGCTGTAAGCTGGTGGTTTTCTGTTTTACAGTGTGGGAGGTGAGGAGAGATTCAAGATGAATAATACTGTGTAACTAACTTAAGAGCAGAGCTATAAACCGAGGGAGGTGGCACACACCTGTAACCCCAGCACTGAGGAGGCTGAGGCAGGAAGAACACAAGTTCAGAGCCACCTGGGCTGCATGGCCAAACTTTGTCTCCAAAAACCAAAACAAGTTTTTTGTTTGTTTGTTTTGTTTTTTGGTGGAACTGGGGTTTTGAACTCAGGCCCTTGTGCTTGCCAGGGAAGCGCTTGTTCCACTGAGCCATCTCCCTGGCCCCTCATTTTTTGTTTTTTGAGGCACAGTCTCACCATGTAGTTCAGGCTGAGGACGCTCACCGTGAGCTCACCGTGTAACCCAGGATGACCTCAGATTCACAGTAGCCGCGTGCCTCAGCCTCCCAAGTGTTGCGGTTACTGGCCTGTGCCACGCACTCAGCCCTATTTCTTGTTCTGTCTCAGGTGTGTGCCATCGCACCCAGCAACTACCTTGGGGAGCACTAACTGTGCTGCAGTGACCTGGACCGTGTTGGGGGCTCACAGTGACACCGAAGGCAAAGGGTGGCCCAGGGCCTGGGGAAGGGGCAGGAAGAAGCCTGGCCTGGCATGCCACAAAGGCTTTCCAGCAGTGGTAGCTCAGATTGCTGTGGGGAGGACGGGAAGGGTGCGAAAGGTTTGGGGAGCCCGCCGTGGGATCAAACATGACTCCCTCAGGAGCTGAAGGAAGCAGCAAGGTGGGACCAAGCCTGGCATGGTGATGCGCATCTGCAGTCCCTGCCCTTGGGAGGCCGAGGCAGGGGGTTCGCTGAGAGTGGGAGGCAGCTTCATTGTGCGGGAAGGGGTGTGCACTGGTGGGGTTTAGGCACTGGAGGTGGAGGTTGTGATCTTTGGGCGTGGGGCAAGGCTGTGTTGAGGACGCAGCTCCCACCTAGCAAGGGAGCAGCCACTTGGTACCAGAAAACTCCGGTCACTGAGCTGCTCCTCGAGCCCTTCACCCCCAGGGCTTCCCCCAGGCCTGACGGCACGCTCCTCCCCTGTACAGGGATGATTCTGCGGAGGTGGATGTGTACAACCCCACGAAGAACGAATGGGACAAGATCCCATCTATGAATCAGGTAAGCTTGTGGGCTGCACCACTGGGCGGTGTTGGGAGGCCCATGTCGCATCTTCTCCAGATGCTGCACACGCAAGGCGGACCCAGGGATGGAACTCAGGCCCTTGCGCTTGCCAGGGAAGCGCTTATTCTACTGAGCCATCTCCCCGGCCCCAAGGCCCAGGTTTGGAGGCAGGGTCTCACATCTACTTCAGGCTGGTTTTGGAACTTGTGGTGATTCTCGTCTCATCCTTCCAAGTACTGGGACTACAGATGTGCGCCACCACGCCCAGCGTATATACGTGCTCTTGTAAGGGCCACAGCGGCTGCCTCTGAGCCCCAGAACACAGGCCTCTGTGTGTGTGTGTGTGTGTGTGTGTGTGTGTGTGTGTGTGTGTGTGTCCTCCCCAGCAGTGTAGTGTCTCTGGGAAGCCTATCAGGCTGGAAAGCCCAGATGGGTTCCTACTTGACCCAGGGAGCCCATGGGGTGCCTGCCAGGAGCTCAGAACAGGACTTGTAAGCTGCTGCTGAAGCTGGCCAAGGAGGGAGGCATGGTGCCACCTACCTCCAGGCTCTGCGTTGAACCTCAGCTCTGCTTCCCGCAGCCCTGTGAGCCTTACAGAGCTTGTTTGTGCCCACCCTGGCGGCCATGTAGGGATTCTGATTGACAGCATGGGCCAGGCCCACCCAGCAGACCCATAGCTTGTGTGCGGCCCCTCGGAGCCCTGGGAAGGCAGCAGCCTGACCCAGCCACAGGGCTCTGCCCGATGTCAGCTGAGGTTGGCACCTGGCGCTGTGTTGAGGATGGTGTGTTCCTCACTTTCCTGGGTCCCTGGCACAGGTGCGAGTGGGGCAGTGTCTGCCACCGCCACGCTAACCCGACCCCAACCCTCCTGCAGGTGCACGTGGGTGGCAGCCTGGCTGTACTAGGTGGGAAGCTGTATGTGTCCGGTGGCTATGACAACACCTTTGAGCTCTCGGATGTGGTGGAGGCCTATGACCCGGAGGCACGGGCGTGGAGCGTGGTGGGACGGCTCCCAGAGCCCACCTTCTGGCACAGTAGTGTCAGCATCTTCCGCCAGTTCATGCCGCAGACTCCTCTGGGTGGCCGTGGCTTTGAGCTGGACAGTCGGGGCACTGAGGAGGACGCAGGTCATCGCCAGCCAGCACGGAACCCCGAGGCGCTGCACTAGCCCAGGCCTTGCCCGGGGAGGGCCTCCGGGAAGTGTGCTCTGTGGGGGTGGAGACCCCCTCCTGTGTACAGGCGGAGCCTGAGCCTGGGATCCATTCCTGCCTTTTTGTGCACTTCGGGCCAGGGCCCCAGCTTCTGGGGCCGGGCTCACTGTGAATGCTGCGCTGGTCCTGGTGTCTGGCTCTCGGAGGTCTTATAGCTCACTCAGACAGCATACACTCCGCCTGCTGCCACTTCCCACAGCTCCTTACCCCCCACCTTGGGGGCAGCAGGCACAAGGTCCCTTTCAGGGTCAGAAGCGGCCTGGGCACTGGCCGAGCAGACTGTGGGTGCGGTAGGGCCCCAGACTGTAGTGTCCCAGGTGTCCCTAGCACAGGGCTTCCTCCAGGCTAGCTCAGCCACTTCCCCTGTGGAAACGGGACATGAGCCTGCATGGGCCCTGAGTGCCTTGTGGTTGATGCTGGGTCTCTCTGCGCCTGCCAGGGAGACCTCCTTGGGCAAGGAGACTCCCCTGGGACCCTGCCCAGGCCATGGGAGGGGAGCCCAAGGAGAGGGCGGCCAGCCAGTGCGAGGTCACAGCTGCTCCCTGTCGTCCACAGCTGGCCAGGCCACTGTGCCCAGCCCTCCTCCCCAAGCTGGCTGAGGAATCCTCCTTAGACAGGAAGCCTGAACAGCAGGGGGGTGGGGAGAAGGGAGCCAGAGCCTAGCTTGCCTTGTTTTAATTTTCAGTCCCATAAAGTGCCATTGCCAGTGCTGTCTGCCAGAGCAGGTGACAGCAGGTATGCCCAGGGAGGCAACTTGGGGACCCCTAGTGACCTCTTGGGAGGGAGACATTTCTGTGGGTTGTTGAGTTTGATCCCTTCTCGGTGCCTAAAGTGGCCTCCACTTGGATCTGGCCCCATCTTCTCCAGGGCCGGGCATTAGGACTGTGTCAGGTGACAGAAAGGCCTTTTCCCACTGACCTGACTCCTGCAGTGAGTTCTCACATGGACGCTGTCACTCATGAGCAGTACTGAACCCCGAAGTGGCCAGATCGCAGGGGCTGTTGCCTTAATTTCTTCCAAGTCGCCAGACAGGCCCTTCCAAGTCCGCCTTCTCCGTTTGGTGCCATGTGCTGTGTGTGTCACTGCATTGTGCTAGAAAGTGCCCCGTCCAGTCTGCCTGTCACTGCTGTCCAGGGCGGGCTCCTGATCCCTGAGCCTGGCAGCCTTCTTGCTCTATTGTGGTGGCCACACAGATGGGCACTGGGTTGTGTCCCTCTGTGCCCCAGAGCTGCCCAGGTCACCATTGTCAGGACCAGGCCTTGGTATTAAAAGAGCAGGCACTGCCAGCCTCCGCTATAGGTTCCACAGCCTGCAGGCCCACCTGGGGGTTCCCATCTGACGCCACAGGCGCTTCGGGTTGGGTCCCCACTGTCATAGGCATCTCCACCCAGGATGGGATTTTCCCTACACAGTTACATGCATGGGACTTGTCTGCAAAACATTAAGTTATGGAAGCTCAGTGACTGATATTTAATGCTGATGTATAATGTATTCTATATTTATATGAGCAGAGTCTCTTAAGGACACACCCTGCAGTGTCCCAAGTCCAATCACACCCCAGAGGTGGACACATACGTGTATTTATTTTCGTCTGTTCTACAGGCCGAAGTCTCTAGAATGTTGCCTCCAGGTTTTAGGATGCCTTCAGTACTTTTTGAAATAAAGATATTTCCTATATGTTTCATGTCTTTGCCTTTATCTTTGCTCAGGGGTGAAGGGGTGGGGACCGCATCCATCACTGAAGATGAAATAGAGCAGTGAGACAGCACTGGAGGTAACGTCACCTTACGCTGAGGGGGGAGCCACCACCTCCGGCTGTGTCTCAGCTGTTTTGGGCTTGGGGTACAGTGCAGTTGGGGTGGGGTCCCCAGCCACAGGGGGATGGAGATGCAGCCTTAACAGGGAAGGAAGCCAGGTGAGGCACATACTGTGATCCCTCCAGTGCTCTGGGAAGCTGAGGTCGAGGGATCACAAGTGCAAGTCCAACTTGAGAATCTTATGAAGACCCAAGCGGGCTGGGGAAGCCCCGAGTTTGAATCCTGCTGAGCCGCCACCCATCCATAGAGCTGTGAGTCGGAAAAGAGGCTGGTGACCTGTCTGGGCTGCCAAAAAAACAGGCAGGGGGGGCCTCAAGGCACCACCCAGGTTGCTCCCGAACCCTGCCCATTCCCGGGGCTGGGGCGCGGCAGTGCTGGGAGTCAAGTCCAGTGACCCAGCGCCTCCTGGTTGGGTAAATGCTGTCAAGAGCAGAAGGGCCGGGGGGCCGGGGAGATAGCTCAGTTGCAAGCATGAGGACCTGAGTCTGATCCCTGGCTCCAGGCTTAAAAAAAAAGGGCCTGGAAACGTAGACAGGAGGGCAGGCTGATCCCGGTGTGCCAATTTGTGCGTTGGTTCAGGAGGGGCCCAGGGCTCCCGCTGTTCACCGTGCCTGGCAGCCTTCTTGCTCTACTGTGGTGGCCACACAGATGGGGCCTGGGTTGTGTTCCTCCGTGCCCCAGAGCTGCCCAGGTCACCATTGTCAGGACCAGGCTTTGGGATTGAAAGAGCACCCAATAGTCAAGGTATGCAAGGAGGCTGGGGCAGACGGCCAGTTGGCGCCCAGCCTTCAGTGTCACGACACTTTGGCAACACACATGGGTTGGAGCTCAGTACATCCACCCTCGGTTCAAGACCTAGTACTGCTTAGAGAACAAAGGGATGGACAGGATGAGTCGAAGACCAGCATGCTTGTAGCTTCGATGTCCAGGGACATCAGCGTGGGGGTGCGGGCTCTGGTGACGGACCCAGGTGCCTGGCTGTGGCCACAGGGCATAGGACCTTCCTCATCACTGCTGCAGTCCGCAGTCCGGGGGGGTGGGGGCAGTTTTTAAAGGTGTCCACAGATTCTTGGACACTTATCCCAAGGAGTTGGGGTTCTGTGTCCCCTCTTTAAGCTGTGGAGTGACCAGTGACTGCTCCCAAGATGTGGCTGAGGTGATGCCATGTGACCTGAGGTACTTGGTCCAGAAGTGGCCGTGCAGTTTGGCCTTTGGGTATTTGCTCCTGCAGCCCCGCCCACCACAAGGGGCCACCCTCTGGGGACTATTTTTTTTGCAGGACTAGGAGCTGTCACACTGAGCTAGATGTGCAACCCTTTTTCCCCCTTTATTTTTTCCGCACACCTTGCAGCATGGTTCCTCCCCTGTGCAGTGACATTCACTTAATCCTGCCTGTGAAGCACAGTACTAATTCCCCTTAGAAGAGCTGGAGCCAAGGGCCAGCGAGATAGCTCAGTGCACTAAGTGCCCGCTTAGGCAGCACAGGGACCCAGGTTCAATGCAGGTTGATCCCTGGCAATGGAGGCTGCACCAGCTCCTGCCTTGGGGCAGGCTGAGCCTCTGACCGAGACCGGTGTGGTGGTGCACACCTGTAATCCCAGTGCTGGGGAGGCTGAAAACAGGAGGATCACCAGAAGTCCATGCTGCATAGTGAAGCCAAGGGGAGAAAAAAAGACGAAGCTGTGATTTGCCCCTGGTCTCAGGGCTATTCAGGAGCTCAAAGAAAACCTGCACACAGTCCATCTGCGCTGGTACAACACACAGCACCCGTGGTGGTAGAACCTACGGACACCAGGCATTTCAGGCCTTGCCTTACCTGACCCCAGGCCTTCTGGCCACGCAGATGGGAGGTCCCCCAGGAAAGGCTCCCTAAGCGGGTGTGCACCAGAGCCACACACCAGGCTGCCCGGCTCCCAGATGTGCTCAGCGCCACCTAAATGTGCCCCGGGGAGGAGCGTGGGGGTGCCTGGGCCTGGCCCTGAAAGCAGTCCACTGGTCCCTGCTGACTCCCTGCTGACTCTGAGGCCTAGGAGGAGGTTCTTTTTTTTTTTGCGGAACAGGGGATTGAATTCAGGTCCTTGTGCTTGCCAGGGAAGCGCTTGCCACGGAAGCACTTGCCACTGATCTGTCTCCCCGGCCCCTGGGAGAGAGTTCTACCCCACTGTTCCCTCCACTAGAACAGCTCTACTGGGCCGTGTGGCCAGCAAACCCAGCTCTAACTCCAAACAAAAGACAGAAGACTCCAGACTCAAAAGCTGCTGGACGGCCACCTTCTGCTCAGCCAGCCAGCGTCTCCCGAGGCAGGGGCTGAGCCCCAAGGACCCAGGACTGGGCGGGCAGCACTAGAGGCCCAAGTAGGGACCAACAGGCACCTCTCCGAGGCCCCGGCCTGCGGGGTCTCTGGGTGAACTAGGAACAGAGCGCAGACAGGTAGGAACAAGGAAGTCCAAACCTCAGGTTTATTGGGAGCTGGGCTCCGAGGAGGGGGGTTATGTGTCACAGTCCTCGGGGACAGCAGCCGTGATGATGAGCGAGGGCTCCAGGACGCCTGGGCCAGTGAAGCCCTCCTCCGTGCACAGTCTCTGGCTGGGCAGCTGGGAGGCCAGGCTGCCCTGGGCTAGGGACTCCACAATGACCTCGGCCGAGCCCACCTCCAGCTCTGCTGGTGGCTGCAGCGCCACCACCACCACCTTCTCGTCCTCAATAACAAGGTTGCGGAGCTTGCGCTGCCGTGGGTTATAGTTCTCCACACGGTCGTGGATCTCCATGTGCCTCCGCAGGTGGGCCTGGAGAGAATGTGGGTCAGGGTGGGGACACACTGGGAGTGAAGGGGGGACCTGGGGTCTTGCTTACCTGCCGTGTGAATTTGTAGCCACACTCTGTACACTCGAACTTCCTCACCCCCTTATGCCTCCTGACGTGCACACGTAACTGCTCCACGGCTGCAGGAGGGACAGGGCCACTGGCATCAGGACAGGTGAGAATGTGGCAGGAATCCCATCTAGGGAGACCAGTAGCCCAAGGGGCAGGAGCCCCTGGCCCGCAGAAGACAGGAGGGGTCTGCTGGAGCAGCAGAGTCTGGGGGCTACTGTAGCCTCAGCCCACCCTGTGCAGCCCCCCCACGCAGGCCAGGCCTGGGGAACGTGGAGAGGCCCTGCCTCCGAGCCCACTCAGCCCTCGGGTACCTTTGAAGGTCTTGCCACAGATCTGGCAGAAGTGAGGGCGGCCCTCCTGGTGGCGGCTGGCCACGTGCCTCAGGAGGGGCCCCTTCTCTGTGAAGCGCTGCTCGCAGAACTCGCAGCTGAAGGGTCGCTCGCCTGTGTGGGTGCGGTTGTGCTTGTCCAGGCTGGCTGCGGGCACAGGCGGGCTCAGGCAGGGTCACTCATGGCCCTGGCCTGGCCCTGGGTGGGGAGGGGCCTCACCTTGGGTGCGAAAGGTCTTGCCACAGAGATGGCACTGGAAGGGCTTCTCCCCTGTGTGTGTGCGCAGGTGCATGTTGAGGTTGGCCTTCTGGGTGAAGGCGTGACTGCAGAACTCACAGACATACGGCCGCTCGTTCCTGTTCAAGCAGGGACACATGGCAGAGGTCATCACAGGAGGAAGCGCCCCTTGCACTCTGCCCCAGCGCAGGGCACACAGAGCAGCGGGGCCTGGGTAGTGTCAGGTGGGGCAGTGCCGCCACTCAGGCAGGGTAGCGCAGCAAGCAGGAACACGCCCCTCCTCGGTAGGCAGAGCCGCACTCCCCGGGCACTCTGCCCAGCAAGCGCTCCTGAAGGCACAAGGCTGCTGCCCTCCACCCCCGCCGCAGCAGCAGAGCCGACGCTGACGCACCTGTGCTTGGCCTTGATGTGCATCTGCAGCCCGTTGCGGCTCGAGGCCCGGTGCCCGCACTCCTCACACACGAACAGCTTCTCGCCACGGTGCTTAAAGGCCTCATGCAGCTGTAGCTCAGTCCGGGACAGGAAGCACTTGGCGCAGGTAGGGCACTGTGGACAGGTGGAAGAGGCAGAGGGACTAGAGCCAGGTGAGGGCAGGGTGGGTCTGCCTGGAAGCCCACAGGCCCCACTGCCAGAAACTGCAGGACCTCTGTCCACCATGGGTGTCTGCTCCCACCAGCCCCGGCCCCAGCCAGTACTTACTGCGTGGGGCTTGGGGGCTCCATGCAGCTTGATCATGTGGCTCTGCAAATCCTTCTTCTGCATGAATTGCTGGGAGCAGGAGGAGCACTGCAAAACATGCCCTGTGTCAGCCCCAAGCAGCCTGGCCTGCCAGAGACGCACGAGGCCCTGTGTGGTCTGCAGAGGGTGGTGATGCCTACCCTCCACGGGAAGAGACAGGCCTGGAAGAGGCCCGGAAGGGAGGCGCTGGCCAGCAGCCCCGCGCACGCAGGCCGACTGGGTGGATGGGGGAGGGGCCTGCAGGGCTATCAAGGAAGGCACAGGCGACCCCTCCACAGCAGCCCACCGTCCCAGCCACCCCAAGCCTGACCTTGTAGGGCATCTCCCCTGTGTGCGACACCATGTGCACGCGCAGCTCCGTTCTCCGGCGGAAGGTCTCCTGGCACACGGAGCATGTGAAGACCTGGCAGTGCGAGGGGCAGGCAGGGCCGGCATCAGCGGGGGCTTCTGCCTGCTGCAGCAGCCTCTGCCGGAGTTTCCACTCGCAGCTGGGAAGTCTGCCTGGGGTGGGGGGCGCTAGGGTAGGAGAGGGTGACATGTGACCCACCTGGCCTGACCCCCACTGAGCACTGCACATGACCGCATGCCAGGCCCTTCTCAGGCTCTGGGCCCCCACAGTCCCTGGCCCCAGCTGCCACCAACATGCCTCTGAGGAGGGCAGGGTGGAGCCGGAGCGTACCCACACACAGCAGCAAGGGGCACCGAGGTGCCCTGAGGCTCTCCCCAACCGTCCTCAACACCCCTGCTCCAAGGCCCAAGGTAGGGCTGGGCCAAGCAACCCCAAAAAGCCTCCCCAAGGGCCCCTCTGGGCTTGTCCCTTCTGCTCTCAGGAACTCCGTCCTTCTGTACCAAGGTGCACAGGCCGTGACATCCAAGGGCCCTGCTGCTCTCCTGAGGACCCTCCCCAGGTGTCAGAAGACACAGGGCTGCACCCGTCCATATCCACAAATACCTGGGCCCGCTCCCAAGTACCTGCTCCGAGCGGTTCATGCAATTCCGGGCTTCGTGCTCCAGGAGGTTCTCCTTCCGGAAGTAGCACTTCCCACACTTGGGACACTCAAAGGGCTTCTCCCCGGTGTGCTTCCTGCCAGGAGGAGAAGCCACAGGGGTGTGGGCCAAGGCTGCGCACCCAGCAACACGCCAGAGGCTCTGCCAGCCTTTCAGGGTCACCTTGGCACTGGCCAGCACAGGCTGACAAGCAGCCCCCTGGAGAGATGGCCCCCCACCTTCCCACCAGCCACAGTGCAGTGATAGCATCTAGGGCCACAGAAGCCACTGCCTGTCCTGAGGACCCCATCAGCACCTGCGGGTCCCCGTAGAGAAGTCAGCCTCATCATCTGCTTCCCAGCTCTCCAGTACTTCCTGTTCACATGGGAAAAGGCCCGGCAGGGCCTAGGAGGCAAGGTGGCAGCCTGGCTCAGGCTCTGGCCCCTGCTCGTAGTCCAGGGCCTTCACTCTGCCTCTTGTCTCTGGGGGAAGGCTTTCACCTGTGGATGACTCTTCCCTTCCCTGAAGCCCATGGTTATTTAAAGGGGCAGCCTGACACCCGTGAACTCCCCCGTCCCTGGGCGCCGCTATTTTCTTCTCTCCCATCCACTGCGCTGTCGTGCTGCCCACCAACTCTCTCCATCGCCCTGTCAGAGATGTGCTCCTTGGAGATCTCTGCTTTGTCTGCTGGCTGAGCACCGTAAGAATCTGTCAGCCATCAGACAATGTGAATGAACTAAATGAATGCTGATCTGAGAGCCCCTGGGGCGCACTGGGGAAGCTCGCCCAGCCTGCCAGAGGCCAAGTGCTTCGCTCATCATCTGTCACTACGTCAACCAGCACTGTCCCCGTTACAGTGGCACAAAAGGCCAACACTCCCCACCCAGTGTCAGGGCCAAGGCACAGGCTCTGCTGGCCAAGTGCCTGGAGCGTATGGGCAGAATGTGGACAGGGCGCACATTGGGACAGCCCAAGGCCTCACAGACAACAGCTGCCCCAGGCCAAGCGCGGGTGTGGCTACACAGGTTTCACACCCTGGTCCAACTCCGGTAATCACTGAGAACAGGTATGTGGCACAGCCTGGCTTGGTAAGAAAGTGCCCTGGGACCACCTAGCGATGTCCTAGGCTGGTAGCAACAGGACTGGGGGGCACACTACAGACCAGTGAATGCTCCTGCCCAGCAGCGGGGAACCACATGGCTACTGGGCACCACAGATGCAGCCAGGGCAGCTGATGAGCTGAACGTAGCTCACTTTAGTATGTTTAACACTTTATTCTGCAGGTCAGCAGGGATGAAAGCAAGGCCTTCACATTGACCAACAATCTCTAGGTGATCTCTTAATTTTTTTACTATTTATTTATTTGTGGAACTGGGGATTGAACTCAGGCCCTTGCCAGGAAAGTGCTTATTCCACTGAGCCATCTCCCCAGCCCCTAGCTTTTTGAGGCAAGGCTTCAGTAAGTCATTAAGCTGCCTACATCTGACTTGATCCAGCACAGAGATTACAAGTATGTACTACCACGCCTGGCTTAATTTCACTTGATTTTTGTTTGTTTGGAGACAAGGTCTCCCTCTGCAGTTCAGGCTCACTTTTGTAGCCCAGGTTGCCTTCCTGGATACCGCAGCTTTACAAACCCACCCCGCCCCCCGTAACCCACCCCACTACACAGATCTGAGGCCTTACTAGCCACACGGACTCCTACTCGACTGTGGTGGCGCTGGGATGCTTGGCAATTGCTCCTCCACCGGGATGCATCCTCAGCCCGGATACACGGTCTGCGCTGTTCCATTCACCCCAGAGCCAACACCCACAGAGACACGGCCAGCCCAGCACTGAGGAGCACCACGTGGCCCCAAGCCCGAAGTGCCTCAGCTCAGGCCTTGGCTCCGGCTCAGCAGCCCACAGGCCCTTCTCACCCCTGTGGCAGCAGCCAGCCCCCGGTGCTTCTGACTGCTGTGGAGGTGTCCACACCCCGATCCTCAACCCGAAGACTCACCGTAGGAGAGGGAGGAAGAAGAATCTGACCCTGGGAGGCACTCTCTGCCTGCCACGAGCATGCAGCACGGGGCACTACACAGATCTGAGACAAGAGCCGGGGCCCCTATAGAGCTCAAAAGGAGAGGGAAAAAAAAAGGCAGAGTACATGACTCTCCCCTCACTGGCAATGGCAGGTGGAAAAACAAGAGTGCTTACCTGTTGTGGACTTTTAGGTAATATTTGCTGAGGAACTTTTTATGGCATGTGGGGCATTCAACAGGCACCGCTGTCCCTTTTCTGTTCTCAGTGGGCTCAACTGCTAGGGAACCCGAGCCCAGGGCTGGCCCGGCAGCACACGGCTTTCTGATTACGTTTGACTTCCTCCCGGTCAGCACACTCTCAGGCTCAGAAACATAGTCGCCATCCCCGTCATCCTCAACCTGAACCACCACTTCCCACTGTAGGAGAAGAGGCAGCAGAAAGGAGTGGGGAGCGACCAAGTTAGTTGGCAGGGACTGTGGGGACCCAGCTTTAGTCCCACCCCAATCTCCAACCCAGGTGAGCACCTTCCTCAGGGACTGGTCATTCCAGAGTCCCAGGACAGACATCTGAATCTTAGACTTGGGGAGGAAGTGCCACCATTTACAAGGAATGGGAAGCCTGGTCATATTTCACACCCCTAGGGAAACCCCTACAACTCTTTTTTTTTTTTTTTTTTTTTTTTTTTTTTTTTTTTTTTTTTTTTTTTTTTTTTTTTTTTGGAGGAACCAGGGATTGAACTCAGGCCCTTGTGCTTACCAGGGAAGCACTTATTCCACTGAGCCATCTCCCCGGCCCCTACAAAATTTATTTTCTTACAACCCCGATATTTCCCATTCTATCCCTAAGGAAGGTGGCAACAGATAGCTGTGATCATAGAAAAGTCAGCTGAGGTCACTGGCTTTCTAAGGTTGGAGAAAGCCTGCATCACCAACGGATTTATTCTAGGGTCCAGATCACCCCAGAACACCATCTGCTCCTCCTCCTATCTTGCCTCCCCAGTTCCAGCACCCTAGGCACAGTACCTCGTTATTCCCGCCCTGCAGCTGAGCACCTTCTGCCTGGAAGGGCCTTGGGGACATTTTGCAGTCCTCGGGCTCCTTGTCCTCTGGGGAACAAGGCTTCACAGCCTGCTTGAGTTTCCCTCGGAGAAAGGAGGGGTTCTCAGTCTCAGCAGAGGGACTTAGCTGAGGCCTCTGGCAGCCGTGACTGTCTCTGGGATCCTGAGGCCTGGGAACCAGGCCCAGAGTTCTGGAACGTTCCTCTTCCCCCAAGTCCGTTGGCTCCTTGAGGTGGCTGTCCACGTCCCGGGAGGCAGGTTTCCCCAGCCCACTATGGCCACTCAATGCCAGTCCCCCGGAAGTTTTGGGCTGGAAGCTCTGGCACAGCTCCACGGCCTCTGGCACTCGCAACTCCCTGGCTGCCAGGAGCACCTGATCCCGGTTCCCTGAGGTGAGGGCAAGGTGACCAGTGTAGAAAAAGTCCAGGAGGAGGCCAAAGATCTCTGCGAAACCAGCAGGGAGGACAACACTGCCCCCTGACCCGTCCCCATAGAGGCTCTGGAAGAAGTGGCTGCAGCAGGCAAGGACACTCCAGTGTGCCTTGAACACCAGGCCCCCCACGTCCAGGGTGGCGTCGCAGTACTGTCCCTTCTCCCGCTGCTTGTTGAGCTCCTGCAGAACCCTCACGCTGTGCTGGACGAAGGAGCCGTCCATTGCCTGGAGAAGGGGAAGGCAGAAGTGACACCCACGGCAGCCCAGCCAAGTAAGCAAGAGCAAGTTCCCGGCTTCCAACTGCGAGAAAGGTGAGGTGGGCGCTCCTCAAGCACGCTAGTCAGAACGAGGGCTTGGGTCGAGGTCCGGGAGCGCAGGCGGGGGGCAGGAACGGACAGCCTGCCTCCTCCCGGGAGGGTACATAAGACGGGCCAGGGAGAGGGGTGCGGTACAGGAGGGAGGACGGGGTCAGGACAGGGGCGAGAAGGGGGGGTGCTGGCGGGAAAAATCAAAGTTGGCCAAAGGAGGCGCGGGACAGACGCGAGATGAGCCTCCGGGCACAGCCAGGGGACTCCGACTGGAGGAGCGCGGCGGCCATGCACAGGTGAGCCGAGCACACGCCGCACCCACGGATCGCGAGCTGCCGGCAGAAGGCGACCGCGATCCCCCCGTCAGCCGCTTCAGCAGCCCGCAGCCCCACTCCTGCGTCCTGTTCCCGCCTCACCAAAGCCCGTATTCCCTGGGCCCGCAGCGCTGGCCACCGCTGGGTCGCTGCCACAATTACCGACCAAACTACCCCGGCACGACGTGCCCGGCCCACCGTGCGGAGACGCCGCCGTCGCCGCGCCGGAAGTGACGCCAGAGCGCGCCGGTCAGCGCCGAGCGCCTCTGAAACGTACTCCTCTTAGTACCGCCCCGGGAGGCGGGGACTAAGAGAGTAGCCAATGGGATTGGAGGGGGCGGGGCGGCTCCAGCGCGGCGCCACTCGGCTAGCGTTCCGGAGTTGCCTAGCAACGCTTAACAGGGCTCAGATCTGAGTCTTCGCTGAGTTCAAACTAGAAGTAAAACCTCACACTTACGGGCTGGGGAGATAGCTTGGGGGCCGGGGAGATTGCTCAGTAGAATAAGCGCTTGCAAGTGGAAGGGCCCGAGTTCAATCCCCCGCCCCAGAAAAGAAAAAGAAAAACTTTCCCTCATGCTAAAAGGCAAGCACACTTTTCACTTTATTGGCAGCCTGGGGCTTTCTGGAGTGTTTACACTTAATGAGTCCAAGACAGGATCCCGCAGGCCCATTTGCCAGTGGGGCTTCAGCTGCTTGAGCCAGGAGGCTTACTGCCCCGCCGTGTCCCCCAACTCAGGTGGAGCTGCAGCGGCTAGTGTAATCTTGGATGGAGGCCTGGAAGTGCTCCGTGTTGTTGAGGTCCGGGCGGCGGAGGATCACATAGCATTTGGGGAGAAAATAGCCGCTGAAGCCGCCGCTCAGACTGGTCAGCCCGGCCAGCACATTGATCACGGACAAGTTCGGACCCTGGGAGATGCTACCCGCGGTGAAGAAGGTGATCCAGGATACGAAGTTGAGGATCAGGCTGAAGGTGACACATTTGGCCTCGTTGTAGTTCTCTGGCAGGTCCTTGCCCAGGTAGCTGCAGGCAAAGGCCATGACCGAGAGGAGGCCGTTGTAGGTGAAAGCCAACAGGAAGCCGGGCGAGCTGGCCTCCGTGCACTCTAGCACCACTAGCTGGGGAAAGCGCTGGTACTCCCTGGTGGGCAGTGGCGTCCACACGGAAAGCCAGGTTAGACAGATGAGCAGCTGAGCACTTGAGCTGAGCATCACGAAACGCCCAGCCCCGTGGTTTCGGACCCAGGCATAGTAGAACGTGGGCACCTTGGTGGCAAACTTGAAGATGATGATCAGTTGGAAGGAGCGAATTGCCAGGCAGGACAGGAAGATGGTGAAACTGAGGAAAAAGAGGGCCTGGCGCAGCAGACACGCCGGTAGTGTGGGCTCCCCAAAGAAGCTGTAGAGGCTGCAGCTGCCTGCTGCCAGGGACCCCAGCATGAGGAAGCACAGCCTACCTCCCGCCGACTTCACCACAGGGCTGTTCAGATGCCAGGCAAACAGACCCGCAGTGCCTAGCAGCAGCAGCAGCAACAGTGTGATAGCTGCCCACAGCACCCAAGAGATGGGCTCATGCCAGGTCAAAACTGCCACTGTGCGAGGGGAGCATGTGTGGCTGGCCTCAGGCGACCACTCTTCTCTCCCACAAGTCTGGCAGCGGTAGAGGTCTGAAAGGCATAGCACAGAAGATTCCTGAGAAGCAGGGGAGCGAGGCTGTGCAGGCCTTCTGATGCTCCAAGAGGTATACCACTTTGACCTGCAGGGCATAGTGAGAGTGACAGAGCCTGAGGTCAGGGGTTTCCTCAATTGCCTGTCTTAATGACAAACTCTGGGTGTACAGGCCGGCTCTGTGTGGCTCATGATCCCGAAAGCAGTTTGCAAGCAGGATCTTCCGGGTGTCTCTGCATCCCAGAGCACACTATCCTCTGTGGGTCCCGGAATCCAGCCCTCGCTATCTGATTTCCTGTCTGGTCTCTACTTTGTGTAATTGGGTGCACAAAGCACTGAACAGCTTCTGCTGCAGATACGCTACTGGCCAAGCCAGTAAGGCACTGGCTGTCTTTGGCACAGGTAACAGAAGAGACTTTAGAGGCGAATGGGTAAGTAACAAGGCAACACTACGTGGAGAAGAGGTTGAATTCAGGATGAGGTACACCGGCAGGCGCGGTGCCAAGACCAGTCGCTAGGAGAGGACACACCTCGGTCTACGGCTTTCAGTCTATTGTTTCTCCCACTTGATCGGAATCCAGTCTGGACACAGGGGTCCACCAACCCATACCTCCCTGGCAGCCCAGTGACTTGGGTTTTGGTTCTGGAGCTGGGTGTCCACCCGTTGGGGTCTGTTTTCTTTTCTTTTTTCTTTTTTTTTTTTTTTGCAGAACTCAGGCCCTTGCGCTTGCCAGGGAAGCGCTTATTCCACTGAGCCATCTCCCTGGCCCCCCACCCCTGGGGTCTGAGCAAGGTCCTGCACCTGCTGTTCCTTGTTCACTCACCACTCTTATTGAGGAAGGTCCCGGCCTCACAGGGAACACACATAAAACAACAGTGGTGGAAACCCACAGTCACTCGATGGTGCCCTTTGGCACAGTCTCTGGTGCACACAGATGTGGGTACCTGTAAGAAACCACAGGGTTCTCGATCGAGGGATGGCTCGCGGGTCCTTTTCCCACTGTGGGTAAGCATCATTCCCAAGCTCCAGGCTTATGGAAGCCACCTGGTAAGTGATCACACGTCTCCCTATTACCTGGTTGTCCTTTCCATGCCACCGAATGCTGCTCTTGTTTATAACTAGCTGAACAGGAGCCCATGTGGAGGAGCCGATGACCCTGAAGGTCCACGTGGGCCCACTCCAGTCCCAGGCAATGACGTCATAGTTACTCATGGGGTCCGTGTTCTCGTCGAATGCCACAGCGTCCTCGTGCAGAAGAAAATTCACCTTGTAGATCTGCTCCAGAAGCTAGAACAAACATCGCGTAGCCACCACAGGCCACTTTCTACATGGTCCAGAAAGAGGGTATGGGAGGCCGAGAATATGGCTCAGTGAGGGGCATAAGTGTTTGCCTGGCAAGCACAAAGTCCAGAGTTCAATCCCCAGCACCACCAAAAGAAAAAAAATTTTTTTTTGAGAAGAAAAAGGGTGCTGTTCCTCAGAACCCCTCCCTCCCTCAGAAGCCTCTGGCTTTCCTATCCATCCTTCTAGGAAAAGACTTCTAGCAAAGGACACCTTTGTTTATTTTGTTTTGTTTGAGTCAGGGTGTCACTGTGTATGGTTCAGGCTGCTCTTGGACTCACTATGCTGCTCAGGCCAGCCTTGAATTTATTTATGTATTTATTTTTCAGATCTGAAAATGTCTTTATTTTTTAGAAAATTAATTCTAGGAAGGTTAAAAAGCAATAGCAGGAGACATAGGTGCAGACAGCCTTGCATTTATAGTGATCCTGCTGCCTCAGCCTCCCAAGCGCTGGGATTACAGGTGTGGCCCACCACACCTGGCTACCAAGGACATTTTTATTTTTTTTTTTAATTTTTTTTTTTTTTTTCCGGAACCGGGGATTGAACTCAGACCCTTGCGCTTGCCAGGGAAGCGCTTATTCTATTGAGCCATCTCCCCGGCCCCCAAGGACATTTTTAGAGAGAGCTTCTTAAAAAAACAAAACAATTTTTAATCCCCTCTGGTTTCTGAGGCATAGCCTTCAAATCAGTGGCCTTAAAGGGCATCCTGGAGTGCCCCCTCTGTGGGCCTCAGAATTGACTATTATCCCTGATGCAAGGATCTAGAACTTTCTTACCTGCCAAGGGTAGACCTGGCCCTTGGAACAGGAGCCAGAGGTACAGCCCAGGAGCTGATGAAGACCGTGGGCCACAGCATACACCGCCCGGTACACATTGTAGGCAGAACTCATGGAGAAGGCCCCAAGCGAGGGCGTCGTGTGTGCTGTGAAGGCTTGGCATTCTCTGCAGAGCTGGTTGGTGCTGCACCAGGAGCCCCTGGCACAAGGCTTTGGGGCCCGCTTGTCTCCCCGGGCATAGGCCTTTTCAAATTCCTCCAGGCCTGGGACAAGTCGCTGCTGGATGGCCACGCCCAGCACCATCCCAATGCCCCGGATTCCAGACATGCTGGTGATGTGTGTGGAGATGGCCCAGTCTTCTGAGGCAATCCACACCTTGCCAGTCAGCTTGGCCAGGATCACGGAGCCGAAGAACACCCTGGCCACCTGGCGGCTGGCAAAGACCACCACCACGGTGGTCCTGGCCCGGGCCAGCTTGCTCATCATGTCCTGCATCTCCTCATCCCCCACGCGGGCAGAGAAAGACACGATGCCCTTGAAAGCGATGCAGATGCCCCGCTCCGTGGCCAGGTCCTCCAGTGCCCGTGCCCCGCGCTCCCCATAGTCCCCAGAGCTGCCAACCAGGGAGACCCAGACCCACCCAAAGCTCTGCAGCAGCAGCACGAGGGTCTCCACCTGGTACCTGTCGCTGGGGATGGTCCGCAGGAAAGAGGGGTACAGCCGCTTTGCATTGAGTGCCGTGCTGCTGGCCTCGTAGCTGATCTGTGGAACCTCCGTTAAGTAAGATCAGGTGCAGCAACCATGACCAAAGGCCCCCAGTGCCCAGGCCTGTGAGTGGGGATAGGGACTGGGAGAGCTGGCCTTGACACAGGAGACCAGAAGTGGGCAGGTTCCCCTGAGGAGGGGGATCCCTGGGGGGTATGCGGGGTCAGCCTTGAGGATAATGTGAAGGGGTCCTGCACCTCCTGGATTCATCAGGGACGGGGACCCTCTACTACTCTGAGCACAGGAGTGAGGCATAATTGTGTGTTTGGGGACCAACAGGGACTTTCACCTGGGACAAAGGCCTTTGCCTGAGTGGGACAGCGAGGAGGCCTTAACTCTCAAGCTGAGGGACTTGTCCTTTATCCCATAAGCCATGGAGAGTAGGGCTTGCTCCCGGAGAGGTGGCCCTTGCACACTCGTACTGGGAAATGTGTCGCTCACTTCATTGAGGAACAAAGTGAAAGGGCTAGGGAGTTCTCAGCCTGATGGGGGTCATGGCGGGGTGGGGGATCGGCAGCATGGAGGGCGATGGAGGGGAAGTGAAAGCTGGGGCTGGAGGAGAGGCGTAGACCAGGCAACTTGAGGAGGAAGCGCAGCCTTGGTAACGGAGGCAAAAATAGGGGGCAAGAGAGGAGTGTGGCAAGGTGGGGTTGCAGGTATATAGCGCCCCCTGAAGGGCAGGACGAGAATTACCATGGCGAAGGCAGGGAGAGGGATGAGGGGATGGGCCAAGAGGAGTGTGGGGAAAAAGAGGATTGGCCTTCTAAGAGGTCACACGCAAAGTAAATTAGGCATGGTGGGTCAGGTCTGTCATCCCAGCATTCTGGGAGAGGTAAGGCAGGAGGATGGAAAGCTTGAGCCCAAGCCCAGCGTGGTGGCAGAGGCCTGTAATCCCAACACTCCTAAGGCTGAGGCAGGAGGGTTTTTGTGAGTTTGAGGCCAGCCTGGGTTGCAAAGTGAGCCCATTGGCAGGAGGGTTTTTGTGAGTTTGAGGCCAGGCTGGGCTACAAAGTGAGCTCAAGGCCAGCCTGAACTATGAAGTGAGACCCTGACTCAAAAAGTGTGAAGAGGGGCCGGGGAAATGACTCAGTGGAATAAGTGCTTCCCTGGCAAAAAAAAAAAGTGGGAAGAATGTAGCTGGGTGCAAACACACTGGGTTCAACCCCCAGTACGGAAAGAAAAAAGGGGGAGGGCAGTGAGATAGCTTAGTGGGCTAAGCAACTGCCTAGGCAAGGGCGGGGACCAGGGTTCGATCCCCAGCACTGCATGCCACCCCCACCCCAGAGGTCTGAGCAGGCCTGGTGGTGCACACCTGTAATCCCAGTGCTGGCGAGGCTGAAAACAGGAGGATCACTACTAGTCCAAGCTGTGTAGTGAGACCCTGCACCAAAATACTTAAAAAAGAAAAAAAAAAAAAGTCATGTAAAACAGAGAAAGCCTGGAACACGCTTGCAGGACTTGGGAGTCTAGGAACGTGTTTTATTTTGTTGTTCTCTCTTTCTTTCTTTCTTTCTTTCTTTTTTTTTTTTTTTTTTTTTTTTTTTTTTTTTTTTTTGGTGGAACTGGTTCAGGCCCTTGTGCCTGCCAGGCAAGCGCTTATTCCACTGAGCCATCTCCCTGCCCCCCCTTTTTTTTCTTTGTACTGAGAATCAAACTCAGGACCTTGTGCTTGTCTGGCAGGTGCTGTGCTGCTGAGCTGTCTCCTAACCTGGACTTGGGAGTCTAAAAGGTACTGTAGCTCACAGAAGGAGCAGGCATGGTGGAGATGAGCTGGGAGCCAGCAGCTGGAGAAGCTGGTGTGTAACACAGGAAGGTCAGGGAGGCCAGGGCCCATCAGGGAAGAGAGGGGGCAGGGGCAGGGAGAGGCGGGCCAGCTGCTCACAGAGGGGCTTACAGAGGGATAGAGGGCGGGAGGCAGGCAGCGAGTCCCCAGAATGGTGGATACGGGGAGACTGGAAGTCATCGTTAGAGAGGGGACCTCAGCAGAGTCTTGCCAGTGGCCTGGGGGTCAGACCAGCCTCAGAAGGGACAGCAGTGTCTGCCAGCGCCCCAGCCGAGGCTCCAGCTTACCAGGGGCACCAGGAAGGGACTCAGTAGAGCCGCAGCAGTAGCCGCATCGTCAGTGCTGTCAGGCCCGATGACCGCCATGGCCCTGGGAGTATAGCGGTAGAGGTTCTCTTGGATCTCCACTTGGGGTGTCCCTTGCCGGGACAGCACACGCAACACTGCGTAGATGGTGGCTGACTCAGAGCACACATCGTAGAGCTCGTACCCCAGGGTGACATTGGGTAGCAGGGCCGTGGAGTTGTTTATCTGCTCCACACTGAGCCTCATGGCCTGGAAGAGGTGGTAGCCGTGGCCGCTGAAGCTGTCAGGCCTGTGGGGAGACCCTGGCAAGAGTGAGGGGCCCAGGCGTCCCTGGTCGCCAGCACCCCAGCACCCCGGAGGCTGAGGCTGGAAAGGGGCCTTTGGGCTCATCTTTCCAGGGCTCAGCAAGCACACCCTCAGCACGGATCCTGAAGCTGCACAGTCCCAGGAGGCACTGACAGGCCTGGAAGAGGCCAGGCAGAAGTTGGAGAGAGGCCGCCTCCCGTCCCCCTCTCGGACGAGCATATTTGGGATCAAAAGGCACAGAAACCCTGTAGTGAACAGGCATGGTGGGACACACCTGTGGCCCCTGTGGCAGGAGTTCGGGCCCGGGCTGTGGAGCAAGACCCTGTGTCAGAAAGAAACAAGCCAACAACAACAAAAGAGAGAGATTCTACAGCAAGAAGCCCACGTTAGAGCTCTCTGGGGAAACAGAGTAGGACGTGAATGGATAGAGAGAGATAGACCTACCGAAGCCTCAGGCTCACCTAAGAACCCAGACTAACCCAGACTCCTCGGGGGAGCCAGCAGGCTGGACACTCTGGCAGATGTTCAGATTTTTTTTTTTTTTTTTTTTTTTTTTTTTTTTGGTATGGGGTGTCACTACACAGCTTGGACTTGTAGTGATCCTCCTGCTTTCAGCCTCCCCAGGGCTGGGATTACAGGCATGCGCCACCACGCCCAGTGGCACATGTTGATGTTGTACTCTTGAATCCAAAGAAATGATTTCTTCTTTTCCAAGGTCTCCATCTTTGTCTCTGAAGTTCTTCAACTGACTGGGCCAGGCCCACCCACACAGTGGCTGGTCAGTCACCCGCTCTAGTCAGTGTACTGGCAGAGGACACAGGGTGATTGCATCTCCAAAATACCTTCCCATCCATATGGAGACCAGTGGTTGGCAAGACTGTGCTGGGTGTTGTCCCCTGGGCATCCACATGTATGACATTCACGAGCACCCTGCCCGCCTCCCCACTCAACAGCGCTTCTTACAGGGATGCCTGGGAGCATGCCAAGGGTCTGTGTGCCTTGTCACCCCTACTTTGTATCACCACAGGGACATGCTGACGACCCATGGTCTCTGGCGTCCCCTTCCACCGCTCCTGTCCTGCACTGCTCAGAGGAAGCTGCATCCTTCGGTGTGGACACGCTCCTGTTACCTGGCGCTGCTTTGCTCCTGTCCACGCCACCATCCTTTTTCCCAGCTCCTACTTTCTCTCCCCAGCTCCCCTATCTGCAGCTCTCTTGCCTAGCCCTTTTCTATCAAGACCTAGAACCTTCCTTCCAAGCCAAGGATCAGGCGCGTGACATGGGCCGGGCACCTTGCCACCCGCTTGACAGCATGCTCAAGCCTCAGGGCTTGGCAGTCCACAGGCACTTGTCGGAGCCCAGCCGTGCAGGGTGAAGTTGCTGGCCACGGCCCTCCAGCAGTGCTGGCAACGCTCTTATTCCGAGGGTGTGAGGCAAGATGACACCACAAGGGCCAGCCGAATAGCTCAGCAGATTAAAGTGCCTGCAAGCAGGCTCAGGGGCTGGGGGTTCGATCCCTGGGCCTGCCATGCTGGCCCCACCCCCAGGGCGTGCTGAGACGGCAATTGAGAATGGGCATGGCGGCATGAGCCTGTAATCCCAGCTCTTGGGAGGCTGTAAACACTACGAGTCTGATCTAGTAGTGAGACCCTGAACACCCTGTAGACCTCTCCCTAAAATAAAAAAAAAAGATGATACCACAGCTGAGGAGCCGAGGACATGGTCTGCTGACCCTCTCTATTCCAGAGCATTGAATGTGCCAGCGTTAGAAATCTGACAGCTCTCTTAATTAACTGGGAAAATTTACTGCTTGGAGAGTCTTTGAATTGTCCTCAAGGACCCACTCAGTTCTGCCTTGCTTCAGTATCCCTTTCCTTTGTTTGAAAATCAAGCCAGGCATGGTGGTGCATGCCTGCAATCCTAGCACTTGGGAGGCTGAGGCAGGAGGATCTTAGTGAGTTTGAGGCCAGCCTGGGTTGCAAAGTGAGCCCATTGGGTCCAGGGAGATGGCTCAGTGGAATAAGCACTTCCCTGGCAAGTGCCAAAAACCTGAGTTCAATCCCCGGTTACGCAAAAAAAAAAATAAAAAAAAAAATAAAAAATAAAAAAAAAAAAAAAAAAAAAGAAATGTAGCATGACCTGTTTTAATACAGTTTGTTTTTAAGAAGGCAAAGGAAAAGAATCAAGAATCTCATACATATATTTTTTTCTTTTAGGTCTTGGGTAAAAACCATTAGTATATGTACATACTAAATGTAAGTGAGGAAAAGGCTTGGAAAAGCATGTTCTTTATGATTATAATTGGGGCTGGGGGTGTGGCTCTGTGGTAGAGCTCTTGCCTTGCATGCACAAGACCCTGGACTCGATCTCCAGCAACATACACAAAAAAATTATAATTGAACAGATAAATG